GATAAATGAATATTATTTATATAATATTTGCTTATAGTAGCCTATTTACAGTTATAAGCAAATTATAATAATTAATATATTGTTTATTGAAATCAAGATCCATACATTAAATGCAAGTAGAGTATATGAGATAATAGATTATTAAGTGATTTTGAATAATTATTTTCTAGAAATACATATTTATAGAACCTGGAGCCTTTTTAGAGGTTCTCAGTAGGTACTCTTTTGAGCTTCCACATGGAAAAAACAGCAATAAGTAACAATTTTTAGTATCAAAGGAGAGCAATAGCCAATGTAATCTTATATCTATATATATGAATTAAAGCTTACATTGGTTCTTCAAATTCGACAAAACTTGTAGGTTTAATCTAGGCTAAAAATTTCGACTCGGGTAGCCTATCCAGCCTAATGGGAAATTTGCCCCTGGGGTTACCACTCGGGCGGATCACTACGGGTGATCTACTAGTAAAATTGCTTGAAAAGATAAAGATGATTCTTGAAGAGAATGTGTAATGTAGTGTAAAATATCGTCGTAACTGCAAGTGCATTGGACAAATGCGAATTAAAATAATTGCCTGTACGACTTGCAAGTATTGTATTGTAAGTATTATATTGCAATATTTTCAGAAACAAAATGCTTATGCGCCTAAAGGCAATGCTCAACGTGAATCGTCGCCCAGAAGGAAAATAAAGCGAGAAAGAAGGAATGCGAGAGCGCGTTTGTCTACCGATCAGCCAGTGTTAAATTTTAACTCTCTCACCGCTTCTTCGTTCTCCTCTCACAATCAGCTACGCGGACAGTTAACACCCCGACGGCTGTTTGATCCCGCCAGTAATAAGGTTCATCTCGCGTTGTTTCGCGAGGTAACATTCCCTTCACCTCGTATTTCTTGTTTTTCTTTTTTTCTATCTTCCCAACTATTTCTTTGTCTTGTTTTTCTCGGCACTTAAATCTTGTTCCACTGCGTACCCATTCAATTTTATCAAATTTTTCATTAATTTTTCATATTAATAAATCTGAAGATATAAATTCATAATATATTTCCCTTTCGTCAATATTCTTTTTTTATCACATACTTTTATAATTAAAATAATTCGAATTATTTTATTTAGGTTAATTAATAGATAAATTGAATTCTAATTTTATAATCATTAAGCGTTAAACCGTTATTTTATCTTGGCGCGATACATATTTATCAACTCATTACTTTTTATTTTTCTAGTTGCTTTTTTCTCTTTTTATATGCCTTACCATTTTTTTCTCTGTTTTTCATCGCGGTCAAAGTCCAATCTATAATATACTTTTTGATTTTTGTTTTCTGCCTTTTTGCCTTTATGTAAAGGCATATTGTTCTTCGAAAATACAAAAAGGATAAATTGTACATCACGGTATTTCTTGACTCCATGCAATAAACACATAAAAAGCAATGAGCAAGAAGCACATTGTAAATCAGGTCTAAATCTTTATGAAAAGCAAAAAACTCGAAATCGATACTTTGTTTTGAGAAATAATATTTTTTTAAAAGAAATATAAAGAAATCATCAATTTCTTGATAATTGACATGAAGCGTCTTTGTGTTGTTCATTCGAGAACAATCAGAAATTTAGAAAACTATTGAACTATATAATTCTAAAACGAATTGATTATCATAATCAGAACTCATGAACATCCGCTCGATAAAATTAAGAGATTACAAGAAGATTTGAAATTAACGGATTAGATTAATGGATTTCTTTTCTGGCGCTTTCTGCATTCGTAAAATATATTTCTCTCTTTATACTCCTCGAAAAATATTCTTTCGCCAGATGTTAGAATTTATTTTAACGTCGGCGTACAATATCGTATCTGGCATACAATACTTACGTTAGAATTTATTCTAACGTCGCCGCTTAGAATAAATTCGTAAAAGCTAAGATGATAAAAGTGGCACGATGTACATAAAGACTCGAGCAGTTTTGCGAAGTACATCAGCGCGCGAATAACTAAGAATTTATCATCTATCGAACACAGATATTCATGACTCGGCATGTCCAAACACGTACAATCGGGCATGCTCATAATTATACGAGGCGAACGAGAGTCCGCGGTCACATTCAAAGGAAGGATGTTTGAAAAGCCGCGCCTCAAAATGTTCTCTTATTTCTTGGCACCTTCGATTGACAATTCTCAGGCTAACTGCGAGCGAACGGCGCGAGGATGGATTATTTGCTCTATCTCCCTCGACGAGATCTCTCGTCACCTTCTTTTTCACCGCGGAAACTCCCCCCTCCCCCTCTTCCCGTTCCTTTCTCTCTCTCCTTTCTCCTCTTTGTCTCGACAATATACGTGGCCGCATAAGGATGTACCGAGTATGTACGAGAGTTGACTATTACAGCTCCTCGTGCTTTTATAGTCCGTCTGGGTGGCGCGCATACCATCGTCATCTTGTTAGCTGCGATTAAATATTGATGCAAGAACCGATATTCAGCCTCAAGTGGTTTTCTCAACGGTTCGCGGAATCGCCTCATAAGAATCTAGGGCAGTAATTTCTAATTACGTGTATCGCTTGGTGATTTTTCTTCTGCGCGTTAATCATGCGAAATCGTGCCTAAATCGCATACTGTAAAGTTTGAACGGTACGACACAAATGATTTACCATCGAACCGGATTTCACACAAGCGTTGTATTCAGTATTTACATACAACATTGCAAAGATCTTGAAAAAGAAAAAAAAAAAAACAAAAAAAACAGATAAATTGCATTGAACGCGAAACGCTGGTGAAACCGCGATTTCTAACGGCCACGGTGTTAATTTGTTCCTCGCCGATGCATGTCCATTATTGTGCAAATTGTCGACGAGACAGATTGCGCAAACGCCTGACAATGGGGGGGATCGCGCGCGAGCTACGTAGCTGTCTCTACGGGGCGTTAAACCACCCCATCGTTAGTGTGCCGAATCAACCGGAAATTCCAGCTTTCGTCGCTTCCGTATTCATTCGACGAACTATGGGAGACGCGAGTTGTGATAGAAAAAGAAGGAGAAGACCAAGTCGTTTCCGAAGGAATTATCCAAGACGAGATAATACCGTGCGGCGTCTAGCAGCTCCCTCCGGTCGACTCGATTGTCATGAAAATATTAGAATATCGGAAAAGAGAGAGAGAGAGAGAGATAAAGCGAGAGAAGGGAGAGAACAATCACTACTACAGTCTCCCTGTTTGCAGATAATTAGAGATTGACGGCGGTTAAAATTCTAGAAAGAATGTTGGACACCTGGGGCTGTTATGTAAATCTTTGAAGAGCGATGCTTCCTATTTCTTTGTCAGATTTTTTCATAGTATGCGATTTATAGTACCAATAATCAACTGAACAATAGAAATTGACTTTTGGGATATAGAATAAAAATATACAAAATTATAAGCAAGAATTTTTTTCGATTTCTTTACTTTTATACTTAGTTTTAGTAGCATAAAAGAGTAAATAATGTAATATGGCAAATGATCGAATTTGCGTATATAGTTATCTTTATCAATTGCGATATTAAAATAATTATAAATTCTTTAGCTTTTCATTAATTTCGCTACGATATTAAGGCCGGAAAATGATTATTTAACTCGAAAAAAAGATTAGCAACGAGGAGAAGAAGGTGGAGGGATGCAGAGGTAACAAGACAGAAGCGAGACAGGAGAGAGACGGGTGAGAGACGGAAGCGAGACGGGGAAAGATTACCCCAAGACGAGACAACCATGAGCAGATCGCTTTCGGGATCATTAATTATCCTAGAAAGTGCGAGAACGGGTAAGATATATAGAGGGAGGGTAGTGGTAGCAAGGAGGGAGGAAACGAGCGAGATAGAAAAGAGCATGAAGAAGAGCACGAATGTCGCCACTGCAAACCGAAATTACCGTCAAAAGATTAATGACCTCTCTTTTATTATAGGTATTTATAGACCTCTCTAAATTTCTCACAAAATTAACCTTGTATTGTAATAGCCATAACTCAACGAAAATACACAAGATTCTTGCCTAAATATCAAGGACATCTAGACATTCTTATTTTCTTGCTGCCTTAATAAAGAGAAGATAGAGCCGAGAGAAAATAAATTGTGGAAAATATATCTATAGATTTTACTTTTGAAAAATGCTGACACTCTATGAATTCTTGTTCCATAATGATTTTCGTGAAAAATTATGGACATAGACCTATATATCTAGATATACATATAATGTCAAAAGTGTGAAGAAAATCTGTTCGGAAGCGTGACAAAACTATGGAACAATATTTCAAATTGTTAATTATCCATTTTTTCAGAATGAATTCAATTTTCTACAATCAGTTTGCGGATTAAATTTATATATAGTGTTGCGTCCCTGTATTTCGTCTCATTGAGAGCAGAAGATTCGTTTCCCTGGAGACGAATCTTCTGCTCTCAATGAGACGAAATACAGGGACGCAACAATATATAATGAAAATATCATATATCGCTATTGGGTCTTTTAAAAAATTCGGTTAATTTTTCAATCGCTAGAATTGTTTAATGTATATAGTAGCAAATTTATTAAAAATGTATTATATTCTGTTGGAAATTTTTTGACAAATCCAATACATCTGTCTAATACTTTATATATTATCGTATCTAGTGTTTTATATGTTTAACATATAAACTAAAACACAAAATTCAAGTAGACTACGCAATGCAAACAGGAGGATTCGTTAGAAATAAAAAACACGATGAAATTACGTACTCTCGTTTGCACCAATACGTTATCGTATCGTACCCGCATATACCGATAATACTCATCGCATTAATTAACTTTAGTACGAGCTTGTGCTCTGCGCATGATGAAAAAGACTGGTGGAATGAAAGAAAAAAAACAACATGCCTTCTTTAAATAAATCGCTGGGAGTGACGCTTCGAAGAGGAAGATTAACGAGCGCGGTGTGTCGTTCGATTCGATACGTCGAATTAACGCGAGACAGAAACGAAGTTCCGCGTATCGATTATTAATGACTTACCGGGTTCTGCCAATGTAAACGTTGACGATGCCGTGCGCACTTGGTGTACTTGTCGCTTTGAATCGCTTAGAGCCAAGTCCGTTCCGTAAATACGCCGCGCAAACGTGAATTGAACTGTAATGATGAAAATGACAATTAATTGGTTATAATTGGGTGTAGCAGCGACAAGAATCTTTAAACGCGTGTTATTAACGACACGTGCGAGATACAAAGGATTAACGCCAGAGGAATCGTTTCACACTTCTATGGCTATGCGGCATCTCATTTTGAATATATTTAACGATTTGCGCAGCAAACTCGTTTTCAGGGAACTAAATCGTTATTGCTCGTCTCCGTGAAGGTTAAACGAATTCCAGTCGTGCTCGTTGCGCGTATACGCACGTACGTGGAGGGCGTGGGGATGAAAAAAATCAACCACCGCCCTTCGTTCCCTGAGTGGCAGGTCGCTAATACGTACCCTCGCATCCTGCCACGTTCGCCTACACTTCTACAAGTAGTATATCCCATCGGTTTCGCCGATGTACCAAGATAGAAAAAGACTAAAACGATAGAATCGTCGGTTAACGATGATACAGATAACCAAAAAGAGAGAAAGAGAGCGACAAACGAAAAGTGTAGAACCATAATGTTGAGGGAGGATCCAATCTTCTTCATATTTTCTCACATACATATTCTTGCCCTTTGTTTAATGCTTTATGTATTAAAACAATAGTTTAAACCGATATATTATAATATCGATGCATTCCATTTTCGACACAACGAGCGGAAAAGGACCAGTGTATATTAAATAAAAATTTTCTTATCAATAAAGCTGGTAATTAATTTATAAGAGTCGAGGATCTACAGCTAAAACCGGTCGTTGGTTGTTTATTAATCTTCTTTATTGTTACGTATACGTTTCGATCAATCCTTTTTTATCATCTTCAGTACAATCGGTTGTTAAATTGAAAATTACATGAGTTTTTTGACTAAAATTTGACACAGAATAATCAATCAATTTTAAATATAACACTCAAAAATATCTTATATTAATTAATTTAATCTTTTTTATTGTTATATATACGTTTCCGTTCTTTTTGACCATCTTCAGTAAAATCGGTTCAACAACTTACTGGCCAAAAAAATTTCACATTTAAACATTTCTAAAAAGAGTCAGCAAATACTGAATTGTTCTATCTTCGAATTTTCTAGTCAGTTTCTAGTCAAACCAGATTACATTTCTATAACCTGCCTTGCGGAAAATCTGGAATGAAGGAATGTATGTATCCGTTCTGTATCGCAGACTGTATACCCGTAAGACTGGATACAGCGACAACCGGTGCGATACACTGACGGGCCCCGGGATCCGTGGGCCCCTGGTGCGTGGTGAACATTTATGAATTTTTGATTTTTTTTTTAATAAAGAATTATAAGGAAATAACACATTTTAAATGTGGCACTCAAATATTTTTGTATAAAAATACTCGCAATACTTGGGAACCGAAAACTGTGGGAGAACAAGAGAGGAACAAAATCTAATGATAAACTAGCGCTCGGAAAGAAGTGATTCGACTGTTTTATTTTATTTGCACCTTGCACCGAAGCTTTAATGACCTTAAGAACGCGTCTGATTGGATATGAGTATTTACACATATCTGGATCGCATCCGTGAATTTTGAAACATCAGTCTTGAGACATACATCTGTGTCACATTACCTTTTCAACCATTTGACCAAGTTGACACATTTATTCCTATGATTTTGACACTTTGGTTTTTAAGTTTTAACGTAATATTTATTATGAGTGTTGAAGGCGAATCATGGGACAAAATCTATCTCTGGCTCTTCCATTAGAATTCCAATTGTATATATCCTCACATTGGATTCTAATTAATAAGAAGAAATCACTGCGTAGCTTATAGCGTTTATTTATTTAATTTTTAATGTTTCGACTATCAAGACAATGTATTTATTTTGTAATTTTTGGTAATGTCACTGAAGAAGGCCTAACATAGGCAGAAACGTTTGATTTTGAATGTAATTTATATCTATAATATAATTTGATTTTATGCACGAACACCTTGCAACGGCTCTTTTCGCCTCTTATTCCTAATTATTGGTAATTTTGGAGCCTATAACTAATTTTAAATTGTTAAATAAAATAATGTTTATAATGAATATAAAAATTGATTTGTAAAATAATATTTATCATGAGTAAAATTATCTGGTTGGTCAAATTCTTGAGAAATACTCTGCCACAGTTTTTCTTTATAAATTCCATCAAGGATATTTTGGATGGGAAAGATCGTATAATTCGATGCGTTGTTGCACTAATTCTATCAATTTTTCATTATCCATTTCTTTATTTTAAAAGAATGCTCTCGATATGGCAAACTGATACAAAATGAGACTCAAAAATCTGAACGCTACACTGAAGCCTATTAAAGGCCCATTTACCTACCCGAGTCAAAATTTTTAGCCTAGATTAAACCTACAAGTTTTGTCGAATTTGGAGAACCAATGTAAGCTTTAATTCATATATATAGATATAACATTACATTGGCTATTGCCCTCCTTTGATACTAAAATTGTTACTTATTGCCGTTTTTCCATGTGGAAGCTCAAAAGAGTATCTACTGAGAACCTCTAAAAAGGCTCCAGGTTCTATAAATATGTATTTCTAGAAAATAAATATTCAAAATTACTTAATAATCTATTATCTCATATACTCTACTTGCATTTAATGTATCTTGATTTCAATAAACAATATATTAATTATTATAATTTGCTATAACTGTAAATAGGCTACTATAAGCAAATATTATATAAATAATATTCACTTATCTCTTACATATCTATCTGCAGTTAAGTAAATTACATAATTAATGTATTGCGCTTATTGAAATTAAGATATGCATTAAATATAAATAAAGTAAATGTGGTAATAGAATATTAAATAATTTTGAATTATAGGTCAGATATGTAATAAAATATTAAATAAAATTTTGAATTTTAATTGTTTTTGTTTATTCAAATAAATTTTTAGTTATTTATAATACTAAATATAATACTGAGTTGCACTTAATTTTTAAAAATATTTTTTACTACTATTCATTTGTTATTATTTATTTTATATTATAACCAGGGTCGGACTGGAACACCAGGGCCCATCGAGAAAATTTGTAAAAAGGGCCCCCACTCTAAAGCGCCGCGGCAAAAATTTTTTAGTTCAAGGTCAAACGTGTTTTAATGAAATTTGGAGATATTTTGTCCTTTAATTTGTTTGTTGTTGTTTTTATTGTAAATTTTTTTTTATTGTAGTAAAGGTAGCATACGTAAAATAAATAACCATGTATAGTGCATGTATTTTATTTAATAATAAAATAATATTTCTTTGGCTTTTAGTAAATATTCTTTTATAAATTGTCAGTTGCCATAACCTTTCAGACGAATTATAAAAAAAAATGAAAGGAGAACACGAAAGACAGTGACGCACTACAGATAGTTGACTAACGCTAACTCGTGCTCAGCGCTATCTTGGTTAGAGAAGGAAAGCACGTCGTTATTCAACTGTCGCAATCTGATAATTTAGAATTTAGATTATTAATTTCTTGCATAAAAAATTTAAAAAAAATTTGGATTTGGGGGCCACTGGGGTCCTCAAAAACATAGGGCCCCCCGAGAAATTTCTCGGTATCTCTCCTGTCCAGTCCGCCTCTGATTATAACATTTATTATATTAATCTGATATAATAGAAATTGAACTCAATTATAGATTGAATATTAATATTTTATTGCTAGAAATTTCGATAAGATTTGGAGATTCAAAAGAGGTAGGAGTTGTAAGAACGAAAGTAGGAATTGTATGTTTAACATTAATAAAAATAAGGGTTTTCTAGGACAACAAGATTAAAGAAAGGCCAAAAGAAGACATAACACTTTCAAGATAGAACTTGTAGGTCAAGGAACATTATTAGAGGCACAAATAACCATGTATGAGGTTTATAGTAGGTTTTAAATTTCGATTCGGGTATACATATCCGTACCGTATCCGTACCGTGCACGGATGCTAGATTCGATTCCATATGATTAAATGTAAGTATTTACACTATTCAGCATCCGGATACGGTACGGATATGTATAAATGGGCCTTTAATCATATGGAATCGAATCCGTGCACGAATGCTAGATTCGATATATATATGTATAAAATTCGATATAGATATGTATAAATGGGCCTTAAATCGGAATATAGAGTAAGTTAGGATTTTAAGAAAGTATCGTCATCTATCCCTGACTTACCCTACAACTAATTAGCTGTCATTTTTAAACGCACATAGGAAGCAAGAAAAATAAAATATTTTCTAGCAGAGGACATTTTGCTGTTTTATTTACATATAAACTAAAAACAATCGGAGATATTTTTTTATTAAATAAACGTTTATAAAAAATGCCAAATTTTACTAATTTTAATGGTTTATATTTTCAAAATGCGTCAGAATTATAACGTTCAAAAATGACAGCTAATCAGTCTCAGCAACTTTTCATGAGACACCCTGTATGTTTGCAAAATAATATGAGAAAACGTTAGAAAAATGTTAGAAAACTCAGATATAGAAGAAACTCTCAGTATAGAAGAAAAGAAAAAAATTCTTTAAATTTCTTTCTTTGATTTAGTCTCGATTTAGTCTCGATTTAATCTCGATTTCGACTAAAATCGAATTCGACTCACGCGTATAATAAGCAGATCGATGTAATAATAAGGTTTTACAATCAATGTTGTAAAATATATCTTTTTTCTTACTTTTGTATGTTTCTTTCGCATTACAGATGTTGCTACAGCGAAGAAGAAAAGCCGATGTTAAAGGGTAAAGGAGAGGGTGATGGAGATGGAATGAGGGGTGGCAAAGCAACGGCCGGAGGTAATAGTGCGAAACATCGTTAATCTTGCAGTTCATAGGTCGACGGATAGACGTATGTACGTGTCGGATACGTACAAGCGTATACATCGTTGCTACGCGTACATCATGGGGCCACACCCCTGTATAGAAGCGTGCATCATCCCCTTTCCAATTACTTCCACATTTGTATAAATTTGTGTCTCATGTTTATTATCCGAATACTAGCAAACTAGGAATTTAATTTTAATTCTTTATTTCCCAAAACTTAAGGGAATAGAACTTAAAAAATTGTTTAATTTTTTATAATTTATAAAAGACAAAAATAAATATAAAATTAGATAAAAGTAGTTCATGAAAAAGAAAAATAACTCGAAATTTCAAAATAAAGAGTCCGTGCACACAATCGATTGTGTGCGTGGAAACCCAGGACGAAAATTGGTAACGCTGGCTCGGAGACGTCGCGCAAACATTTTTATAATTATTATAATTTTCATTATTTTTATTTACAAAAATTACTAATTATAAATAAAATATTATTATGTGTATGAAGTTTAAGATAAATCATACTTAAAGTTTAAAAAAAAAATTCATTACACCCTTTTTCCTAGTTCTCGAAACAATAAACGATAATACCCCCTTAAATGCGTGCGAAGTTATGTTTATAAGAAGTAAATAGTTTTATTTTATTTGTAATTAGTACTGTTCTTGCGCTTAGCAACAAGAGTATTAACTGTTATGGCTCCTACACGTGGTAACGCTTACAACGCCGCGCAACGACGCGATAACCAACCAGTCAGTGGCACACTCAAGTTATTTTTTCGGGGGGGGGGGGTTAAAATTCACACACACACGCGCGCGCGCACACACACAAAATGAAACAATATGATCATAAGTCTGGTCAGTGGCGCACCCAAAGGAGGAGGGGAAGTTTGACCCCCAAACTCCCTCCCCAAATTTTTAACATGCTTTATTTTTTTATTAACTCAACAGCAAAAAGAGAGAGAGTAAATGCTGTTCGAACGTATATAATATCTATTTTAAGATATTCATATTATGAAAGGCAAGGCATTCATATTATGATTAAGCAAGAATGGCCAAAAGATACTTTGAGCTCTTTAAAACATTGTGACGATGACATGTTACCGAACATCAAGATACTGCTACATATGTATATTAGCGATACTACTTGTAACTAGAGAAACGAACAAAAGAGAACGAAAGATCTTTCTCCACATTACGTCGGTTAAAAAATTATTTAAAAAGTTCAACATTAGAAAACAGATTAAATGGTTTAACCCTCCTGCACATATACAATTATATGACCCCAACAATTGATTCTATTATAAATAAATTGGCCGAAAAACGAAGAAAACTCAATATCAATTTATAATTATGCTACTATAAAAATAAATTGTATTTTTTATTAAACTATGTAACATTTTTATATTTTTTAGTTTTCAATATAAAATTATCCTAAAATAGAAATTATATACGTTCGAACAGCAGTATAGCTGGAGAGGCTATCAATTATTTGTGTGCAAGGATATTGGTGTAAATTTTAAATTATTAAAATTGTGACTCTAATTAAGAACAGACAAAAAATATGAATGTTTGAACGCATTTTATTTAACTACAAATTTTTACTTTTGCTGTTGAGTTAATAAAAAATAGAGCATATTAAAAATTCGGGGGGGGTTTGGGGTCAAAACCCCCCCCCCCTTGGGTGCGCCATTGCAACCAATTGACAATAAGAGAAAAAAATTGATTAATTTTTCATCAATAATGGGCTCCTATGTGCAGGGAAAAAAGGAAAGACAATGTTACAATCGGGAGGCACAGCTTGTGATCTTGCACCCCCACCCGTCCAACCAAGGTTAAAATCCTGGAGAAGCGGGTGAATGAGAGGCCTCCCACGGAGTAAGGCTATATAGGCTAAACTCCGTGGTGAGGGTCAGGGGGAGAGGGAGATGGGAAGATTGGGCCCCTTGGGCACTTGTCCCTCTTCCTCAGCCCCCAGTATAAGGGATATTTAGAAGAGGGAGGAGGTGAAAGCCTCCCACTCCAAAAGGAGAGACGATGTGCCCCTAACAGGGCTTGTCAGGGGGAGGGCTGGAAGTTATACCTCCAAGGTTTTCCCGGCCCTCTCCCACTAAATGACATGGCGACGACAAAGTTTAAGGGAGTGGGGTTTTAGTAGGTAGGCACCACCTCAGCCAAAGGCTAGGTGGTGAATCCCACACTCCCCTTCCGCAGTGCGGTCACTAGGACTGCATATTGCACGCGGAGGGGGGTCTTTTAGAAGATTTCCCCACTCCTTAAGGTTTCGGCTCTGCAAGAGCATTGTCGGGCCCCAAAGCAACAAAAAAAAAAAAAAGCTTGTGATCTTTAAAAACCTTTAGAAATCTTTTCAAGAAAAAGCTTTGTTATTTAGAGATGTCATTTTTAAGAAGAGCATTCTCTATTGTCAGCCAATATAGTATTCTCTTGACTGTATTCTTTCGTTTGTGAATTAATTTGAAATAGTCTCAACATATGTTATGTTATTAAAAAAAAAATAAAAAAAATATAAAATAAAAAATGCTTTGGATAAAAGTATAATATTGCCTTAATTAAAGACAAAAATCTAAAAATTAAAAGAAAAAAGAGATAGATCATAACAAATATATATCAAATTAAATATTTAATTTGATATATATTTGTTATGGTCT